GGCTATACTCCAAACACTACCACTCTAGAAAACAAGTAAGATTCAGTGAATTCACTTCTGAAGAAGACACAGGCTCTATGTCAGATAGTTCAGGACATAGTGTGGCCTCATACAGGAGGGACAACACCCACACACCTAGACGTACGGGTCGTATCAGAAACAAACCTAATCGTTTTTTTCAAGAGGCTCCAAATGTGAAACGGAAAACTTAATAGTAAATCTATCCAACAGAGTTTTAACCCCTCAGGAAAAGCACGTTATTAATAAAGGGCTAACATTTGTTCCCAAACCCAAATATAATCCATTTAAGATGCGTATAGAATTAGCTAGGCTATTCCGTACCATCAGATTAAGACAGCATTTTGGGACCACGAAAAACATCACTACTTCTACCTTCAAACCTCGTAGTAACTTTTTTCCTAGCACAGACCATATAGGACTTAGGGTTTTTGAAAAAACAGTATGTGAGGAACTATGTCACACATTCACAAAAAACAAAGGGACACACAGTACAAACTTTTCTAACAGTGAGTGGAACACGCTTCGTAGTTTAGCCAATGACAAAAACCTCATTTGGAAGCCGGCTGACAAGGGTGGAGCCATAGTGTTAATGAACCATACTGATTATATGAATGAGATCCACAGACAATTATCAATAAGAGAACACTATCTTAGTATAGAACGGGATCCCACACATCACATCCAATCTATTATAAAAACAGTGACAATGGAAGGACTGTCACTTGGATATATATCAGAGGATGTATATAAGTATCTACACACTCCATGGCCCAGAACCCCTGTCCTGTATATTCTGCCAAAAATACATAAGAACATCAGGCCAGTTCCGGGCCGTCCTATCATATCAGGATCAGGCTCCATTCTAGAACCACTAGCAAAATTTGTGGACCACCATTTACAACCCTTTGTAAAACAGACTTCATCTTATGTTAGGGACACTAAACATTTTATTAATATCATTGAACCCTTGGTGATTCCAACAGATGCTGTTCTGATGTCTATAGATGTAACTTCACTGTACACTAGCATTCCAATAGAAGAGGCACGCACTATATGTGAGTCTACTCTGAACAGGAGATCAAACTGTCACCCTCCCACTTTCTTTTTGTTGGACCTCCTTGATATCATTCTCGAAAAAAATTTCTTTAAATTCGACCAAAAATATTATTTTCAAATACAAGGAGTGGCCATGGGCAGCCCTGTTGCACCTTCAATAGCAAATTTATTTATGGATAATTTGGAAAACAATATAATTTTGAATCGTGCATATAACCCTGTAGCGGGTAGCATAATCAAATATTGCAGATTTATTGATGACATTTTCATCATTATAAACTCACATCATGAGGCAGAAACATTATTATCCTGGATCAATACAGTACACCACAATATCAAATTTACAGGGAACATCAGTGCCACATCCTTGGTTTTCCTGGATGTTATGATTATAAAAGAAAACGACCGATTGAGGGTGAGAAACCACCGTAAAACCACGGACAGAAACTCCCTGTTACACTACAATAGCTACCATCATTGGGCATTAAAAAATAATCTACCGTTCTCACAGATGCTCAGGATTAAACGTAATTCCTCGACCCAACAGGATTTCACTCACGAGATTGAGGTAACGAAACGACAGTTTAGAAACCGGGGATATCCTGAACATATAATACAATCATCTTATCTAAAAGTAGCCAACATTCCCAGGTCTAAATTACTAGAGAACAAGACTAGACCTAGAGTAGAAAGATTAATATGGCCACTTACTCTCACTAACATGTCCAATTTAGCCATCAGAACAATTAAAAAATACTGGAACTTAATAAGGGACATCCCGGGCTGTGAAAGACCCCCACTAATAGCATATAAAAGAACCAAGAGCATTGGGGATTTTTTGGTACATTCAGATTTAACACATAATGTTCGGACCATGAAATCAAATCTAATTGGCAATTATCGGTGCCATCATTGCTCAGTGTGTAACCAATTGGTGGAGACTAAAATCTTTACACACCAACACCCACCATTTACAATTAAATTCTCCCATTTTGCCACATGCATAACCAAGGGGGTTATTTACGGGATTATTTGTGAATGCAAACTGATGTACGTGGGCCAAACTCGTCGAGAAGTGAAGTCTAGGATTATAGAACACCGGAGCAAAATTAGAACTAATTCCAGAGATTCCATACTGTATAAACATTTTGATGATCTACGGCACAACCCTGAATCTTTTAAATACCACATATTAGAAGTAGTCACACAATCCAAACACATGGACTTTAACACTAAACTCCTACAAAGGGAAACATATTGGATCTTCAGATTACGGACGGAACACCCATATGGTCTCAATGAACATAATTCATACAGTTGCTATATATAACTTTGAGGTTTTTTGCATTATCCCTTGTATACTACACATCCCTGGGAAGTACATTACTCACAACGCCATCTAGTGTTGACATTTTCCACACCTGTAACTTTAAATGAACCTTAAATCAACTTCTCTGCCTCCTCTACATCTGATGTTCATTTTCCTCTTTAAATAGAGGAAACCCCCAGAGCCTGTCCATACTCGCAATTAGAATCAAACTCAGAAGCAGAGTATCTTGTGAGTATACACCTAATTGGTGAAATATATTGGGAAAACATTTATTTAGATATATGTATATTTTTTTAAATGTTAATAGCCACAATTTGTTCCTTTTACCTAGATCCCATTGCATAAAACTTAAGTATCTCTTATGAGAACATATGTAAAAGACTGAACTTTGTGAGTATTTCTAAATGCATTCTATCATATTATGTTCAATTGTAAAATGTATTGATGTATGTAATATTGGTGAAATATATTGGGAAAATATTTATTTTGATATATGTAATTTTCAAATGTTAATAGCCACAATTTGTTCCTTTCACCTAGATCCCATTACAAAAAACTTAAGTATCTCTTATGAGAACATATGTAAAAGACTGAACTTTGTAAGTATTACTAAATGCATTC